TATCTATCCATCTATCTATCCATCCATCCATCTATCCATCCATCTATCATCCATCCGTCCGTCCGTCCGTCCGTCCATCCATCTATATCTATCCGTCCGTCCGTCCATCCATCTATATCTATCCGTCCGTCCGTCCATCCATCTATATCTATCCGTCCGTCCGTCCATCCATCTATATCTATCCGTCCGTCCGTCCATCCATCTATATCTATCCGTCCGTCCGTCCATCCATCTATATCTATCCGTCCGTCCGTCCATCCATCTATATCTATCCGTCCGTCCGTCCATAAGAGTTCCGACAAATGGCAAAATCACATAACTACAGTAAAGTTCCTAATGTGCTGTCATTTGCTCTCTTCAGCTCGTGGTACTGCTGCATTCACCTGCTCTGCGTCTTGCTGGTGCTGGTTTTACCCGTGAAGTCCAGACGCACGAAACAACAGGCCAGTGAACACAACTGTCTCTCCTTTCCTGACAACAACTGCAACCAGAAGCAGAAAGCCACATGAGGGCAGGAAGGGCTGCTCGACCCGCACACAGCGCTGTGAGGAACTCTGATATCAATACTGAGAGACACAGAGCGGCCATTTCCTCCCTTAGATCCAACGACACTGACAGAGACATAAACTCCAGCAACAATACATCGAAAAGAGACCGTTAGTCGCCCTGTTGGAGATGGGTTTTAAACAGGAAATCTTCATAGGATCATATGAAATTGGGTGATTGATTATTAAAATGGTGAATAATTGATTTCATTGCCAGTTAATCTGAAGTTGCCTTAAACACTCCATATATTTAGGGCCTGAAGCCTCGTATGGGGATCGTGTTACATAGGAACGGACCAGTCATTGTTGGCTTACTGATTCACTACATTAGTGCAGGAAGTCTAGCACTGGAATCAACTTCTACGGTACCTAGAAGGTTTCTGCCATTGTCAGTTTAACAAAGTAACCTCTCTTTTAGTTCTTCTCAAAGGAAATGTGTGTGGTAAATGATAAGAAACCAGTTGCGTGTTGCCAAACTTATAGGCCTTAGGTTCCTATCTCTTGCCTTTGTTTCATCTTTATTCTTTCTTAATTTCTGTGGGTTTCTAGTAGGTTCATATCTGCTGCTTTCTTTCTCAGCCTTTGTCAACATCTTTGGAACAAGGGTCAACCGTAAGAGTGTGTTGTCATTTGGAAAATTTTTGTTTATTATTATTATTATTTTTTTTATTTTGGTTGGATTAAGGGTTATATTAATGCTCTTTTTTAATGGGTTGTAGGTTTCCTCAGGGCGCACAGGTCTTGTTTTAGACCATTTTAGATTTTCCTCTAACATCTGTGTTTCTCCCGCAACATAGAGCCCGTCTGGAGAAGACAGTTCAATAATATTCAATACCACAGCTTGTTTGTGTTTTTATGTTACAGACAGATATGGTAAGTGCAATAACTGTATTGTTTCCTTAGGTGCATGTTAATGGAAAAAGCTTTGCAAACAGTGCTAATGCTCTTATCACATCAACAATAGTCAGAATTTTGTAGTGGTTCAGTATTTAAGTACATTACCAGCAAAAAGTTGGGACAAATCAGATTTGTTTCTCTTGATCTTAAAAACCTGTTGATCTAAAGGTGTATGCTTGAAATGAGTAAATATGATTATAAATTGTGCCAACATAGTAATTCCTTAAAACTAAAATATGTAGTTTTAATAAGTGTTTTTTATTTATCTTTTTTGTCCATCTTATTTGTTTTTTATCCATCTTTTTTTTCTTTGTTTTGTTTTGTTTTATTTTATGTTATGTTTCTTTGTTTAGTTTTGCGTTGTTTTGTTGTGTTGTTTTTGTTTTTTAGATTTTTGTTTGTTTGTTTGTGATTTGTTTTTTTTTGTTTGTTTGTTTGTTTTGCCTCCCATAGTGTTGGAAAAGCAGCCAACAGCAGTGCTCAGCATGCTTGGGAACTACATAATTCCCATATTTCCATTTGATATTTTATAGTTTTGACGACTGTATTATTCTAAAATGTGGAAAACGGTAATAATAAAGTCTTGACTTTTTACTGGTAGTGTACTGTACATGCAGTAATCAGATACATGCAGTTTCAACTTTTATTTAATATCTTTTTTTCCCCCCATGAATACATCAATACTCTTGGGCCCTAAAGAAACCTGCAAGTTGTGTGATTTCATATAAGAATGTTTCTTCAACTTTGATCTTCCAGAAGGCCTCAGAGAGCCTTGCTCATTTGATTCAAGTGTCTGGAAAATCAGACCTCATCATATTCCCCCGAATCTACTTTTTGATATGTGTAATTATGTTGATTCATTTATATTCAACCAAACGTTTTATCCCTTGTTCAAAGCGACTCTACATGTTAGTTGTTGTTTTTTTTTTGGTTTTGTTTTCATTTGGTAATGAAGGGCTGAAGGGACTAAAGCATTAACCAAAGTGAGTCTCACTGGATTTGTGTTAACTAAGCAAGTTCAGTAACAAGAAAAACATATTCTTGGGCGTGAAGTTGACCAGCCTCCATTTGGAGAAAACGCTCTGAACCAGCCCCCTGTGGTTTCGTAAGCACACTTCTCTAAAGTCTTATTGTATTGAATTACCTTGATGAATTACAGCCCTGTACCAACAGTTTTAGTTACTGCAAAACCAATAAGAAGCTTAATAATCAGCAACTCTGCTGGAAACATCCAGATATATACTGTATAATTTCTCTTTTTGTCTTTTTCATAAAGGTTTTGCTTAATGAATTGTTTTAACTGCCCAAAGGCAATATGTCCCACAGTAACCAGTGTACTAACTAGCACCTCAATGCAAAACTTTTTCAAATGTCCAAAGTGCCAAATCACATGAGGTGCACAAAAATACCACGTTATTTGTACAGGTTTACAACAGGGCGAGAGGTTTGTACTTTAAAAAACAAATCATTTATTTGGTCTTAAGCTGACATTTTTACCTACTGAGATTTTGGGATGAATTATTTTTCACTCCCTCCCTATTTGCACTTATGAGTCGGGGTAGAGCTAACTTAGAAAAACTGCAGAAGCAATGCAAGAAACCTCAGTGCTACTCGACAGTTAGAGTATGTGCTTAATGGATTAATTTGCCCAAAATGTTAAATTCATTGTAGCAGCAAAGAAGAATCAGGACGGTGTTCCAGTGTTATAGGGATATATTGTAAACAGGCTTCATCCATAGAAAGATGTTAAATGTGTGTTCATTGCTGTTTATGTGTAAACATTGTCCCTTTGTTCAGATAATGTTCAGCTAAATATAGCCTAACATCTTGTTAAGGCCCAAGTAATAGTGAAGGCACATTTTTTAGGCCTTATTTATCTGTAACATTTTGGTTCAGTCATCATTTATTTCAATACCATCTCCAACTACTGATTCTACAAAGAATGACCCAAAGCTGTGTGAAACTGTGTTGACTACTGTAAGTTTTTATTTTATTTTATTATTATTAATATAGTGCATTTGTTGTCCATCAGCCACCTCAGTTCTGTTGTTTGTCATTGTCTTGTTGGTCTTTAATGGTTATTCAAAATAAGTGATTGTGGCCCTTGGTGAACAAGCAAACCCCCTTAACTGGTTGCTAAAGCTTTCCAGATATTGCACAGAATCATTTAACTTTTCCATTGTAATTCCTGCTGACTGGTTGTGATGTTGCATAACCTGGCAGTGTACAGCAAAACTAATGAAATTGTAATACGTTTGTGGAGAGATACAGAAATAAGTATTACCTAATATGTTAGCTACTTCAGTATATATCAGTTCACCAATATACGTTTTAAAACACAAGGTTGTCTGTGCAAATGTACTTGGATTGAGAACTGTCCAGAGGAGAACAAACACAGTCTCTTTTTATTTTCTGTAATAATCATAAACTGAGATGTGATACTTACCCAGCATTTGAGTGCTCTGAAGTTGTATACCAAGCCAAACGATTTTTCCTTTGAATAAAGGGTTTGACATTAAAAATGAGTTCCACTACCATGATGATAGTCTCAAAACAAATAAACCATATTTTCCTTCCCTGTATTCATCTGAGTGTTTTTGGTTTTCCTATGGGTAATGCAACAATGGTTTACCACAGAGATATGGCACTGAATGAATTAAAAATCCATACAATAATATGTCATTTCAAACGATAGATAGATAGCTAGATATTCAATATTTTGTTAATACATATAAGTTAAATGAGAAACAGATATAAAACAGGCAACTACAGTCTGTCAAAACATGGGCGTGACCTTGTCCTGTACTGGGCGTGGTCATGTGTAGTTAATTTTAATTTCATCCACACCCCTGTTCACACAAAATGGCTGTGCTGTAACGCAAGACTGCCTCCAGACAGAAAGGTTATGGTAAGCAACAAAGATATGTGAATTATATCGGATTACTTTGGACCTTGTTTTTCTCTGGGAGGGAGATGTGAGTTACAAGTTTCCAATTGGAATTATGTAAACAAACTGACGTGTTTTTTATTAAGACGTGAATTCATGTCAATTTGTCATTTTCACGCAAGTCAAAGTAAGTTTTTAATTCTTTTAAAAGAAGGTTAAAAGTAGCATTGAGACACTGTTCGTGTGTTAAAAGAGAGAAGAGTGGACATACACAGTTGAGCTCCAGCTGTCAGGACACATGTGCTCTTCCTTCACTCCAGTAGCAGCTTTTGTTGCGGACATGTAACTTATTAAGGTCTGTTTGTAAACACGTGTGCATGAGCAGTTGTCTTTTTTTCTTTTCCAATGCTGCTGTCTTTTACAGCTACAATTAGCTATGGTATGATACTCTTTACACCTTTAATACGGTGGGCAAATACGTTTGAGCTGCTTTATTTTTCACGGAGCTGGTGTGAACTTGTTTACCACTGTTCCTTTGTGCCACACTATGGAAACCGATCCATAGACCAGTGATTCCCAAACCAGATGTAACTCAACCGCAGCGAACGCAGGGGGTGCTTAGAAAAATTTACATTTTGCTGTGTTAAACCTATATATAAATGTTTAAATCGAGATTAAATCAAAATAATAATGTGTGAATGTTTTATTTTTAAGTGACTTTAATATTATTAGTATTATTGCTATTTGAAATCTAGTATATTGTGATTTAAAACTAACAATTTCTATTTTACTGTTGATGATATTAATCTACACAACCCAATAAGACAAAAATATCTATGGGGGGTCTGCAATCCCAGTACTATAGGGTACAGGTATTGTTTGATCTCAGAACAAAATTCAATTTCTGACCATTTAGATCGTAAAACTGATATTATTATTATTAAACTATTATTATTGTTGTTGTTGTTGTTTTTTTATTGTTGTTGTTGTTGTTAATAGATTTATAACTCAGACACCAAAAGAGACACCAAAAACTCAAAACCAAATATTTTTAAATTAGTTGTGATATCAGTTATGGGACATTTAAGCAAATATAATCTATCATATTGCAAAGTAAACGTTATAATATGTATAATAATAAATATATATTTCATTAATTGCGGTTGATTAATCTTCTTTGAATCAGTTTTAGTAAAAGAAATCAAAATATAACACATGTTCTATTTATCTGTGTAACCAATATTTTTCTTTAAAAAAATAAAAATAAAAATAAAAGAAATTTTTTTTCTAAATATATATATATATATATATATATATGTTCATGCACTCTAATGAATATTTGTTTATTATTGTGCCAAAAACACAAATAAAAACAAATTAAAAATCAGTTCTGAATTTCAGTTTTTTTTGGACATTTCATCAAAAATAATGTTATTATTCATATTGCAAAATATTCATATTTCCAAGTAAACATTTTAAATTTACTATACTTACATTATTTAAGGCCAGTCAGTTTTACTGATAAAAAAAAATACAAAATCAGTACTTAATTTCAGACATCCATGCACACACTCTGTCTCTCTATAAGGGATTGTTGGCTTTAAAAAGTTTGAAGATCATATCTATTATAAGAACGCCATTTACATATTACTATATTTAGAGATTGGTGTAGTGATGTTTGCTTCAATCTAATGGGAAATCCATATGTGCTTCCAGCCCAGTGACCTTTCACAAACATTTATAAAGAACATTTTATTTAGTTAGTTATAAGTACAATACTTATCAAAGTCTTGTACGCTAACACAAACCCTTTATCGAAGGCGTGTCTCATGTGGGCTGGACCCTTCAGGAGGCTTCAATAATAACGTCAGATTTCATTAATATTAATGAGTGAAGCTCTGCTGTAGTCGGATTCACAGCACATGTGTGCATTGGGCATCACTCCAAAGAGAGGCGGGGTCTCACACTTCCTCCTGCATTATTCATGAGCTCCTGGAGTGACAGGCAGAGCCCTGGCCGGCTTGTTAGTACACAGTCTGAGTGACCGCGTGAGTGGAGTATCAACAGTAAAAGGATAGACAGGCTTTTGAAACCCAACTCACAGGGAACTCTCTGGCTTAAGGTGAGTCAGCAGACTAATGAGTGTGAAGAATGATGTTATTGTAAATGGATTGTATATGGATTATCTGTTACGAATGGGTTATCTTCACTGGTCTTTGTGTGCTGTGTATTGGGGCTGGGAGAGGGGGTGAACCTTGCTCGGTCAATATTTGGCTGAGGGTCTCTCTGTGATTGGCTGTCTCCATTGTGTGATCTCTCTGGAGGGCTGCTGGGATGCTTTCAAGGGTGTGTCAGCAGTTCAGAGATGAACAAAGGCTGATTGAAGCGGATGTCTTGCATTACTGGATCTGTCACCTTTATCTCTGCTTTAAGATATTTAAGTTTATGGATAAGACTTGTATCTGTTGTAACTGAGTGGATTTTGGGCACTGGGGCCCCGCTGGTTGGCATGTTGTCAGCTGGAAGCAGCTTTTGGTGACTGGCTTTCATATTTGAAGGGTTGTTCTGGGCTGCTGAGTTGGCAAAATGGCCCTGGAAAAAAAGTACTTGCATTTGGCCTTGTTTATGTTGTTTGAAAGCATCATTATAGTGTTTTATGCGCGTATTATAGTACAGTTTAACAGTTAAATCTGTCTAAATTACTGGCCCTGAAAAGTATTTGGACACAAATGCTTAAAATATATGAATGTCTTTGCTTTATATAGCAACATATCAAACCTAGTATCATTATTATTGTTATTTTGAAGACAGATGACAAAAGCATGCTTTTTAAAGCAAAAGAGTTCACAAAAATATATATTTTTTGTTAGGGTTTCAAGTATAAGGCATTACATTAACCGTTTGAAATGAAGACAAAAGTGTGTCATTGTCAAACATCAGTGGATCATGTTCTTGGTTTATAGTGCTGAACTACACCTGTGGTTACTCGGACAGGACACCTGTGTGAACTGGAGGACAACCGATTTACATCCACTAAAATGTAAAAAATTTAAAAAATGGATCAGAAATGTAAAATTAGTTGTGAGTAAATGTTTTGCATCATTTAGTGTTTGTGTGGCTGTGTAACAGTTTATGCATAATGTGATTTAGGCCTAATTCACTTCTGATAAAGGGTCTGGCAAATGCAAATCCTTTTTTGTTGTTGTTTGCAGATGTCACATGGGTTTATATTTAATTTTGAATGCAGTGACATTCATACAGTTTTAAGTGTGACCC